TGGCTACTAGGTACGACATATATATATATATATATATATTATATATATATATGTCGTACCTAGTAGCCAGAACGCACTTCTCAGCCTACTATGCAAGGCCCGATTTGCCTAATAAGCCAAGTTTTCCTGAAATAATATATTTTCTCTATTTTTTTCTTATGAAATGATAAAGCAACCCATTTCATTATGTATGAGGTCAATTTTTTTTTATTGGAGTTAAAATTAACGTAGATATATGACCGAACCTAACCAACCCTACCTAACCTAACCTAACCTATCTTTATAGGTTAGGTTAGGTAGCCAAAAAGTTAGATTAGGTCACAGTTAGGCACCTCAAGGTCAAGGTAGGTAGGTAGGTAGTCAAAAAAACATTAATTCATGAAAACTTGGCTTATTAGGCAAATCGGGCCTTGCATAGTAGGCTGAGAAGTGCGTTCTGGCTACTAGGTATGACATATATATATATATATATATATATATATATATATATCTATATATATATATATATATATATATATATATATATATATATATATATATATATATATATATAATATATAATATATATAATATATATATGTATTTGTTTTTTATTAGTATATCTCACATTTTATAATTAAGAATTTTTCAACTGGTTTGTTTTATCGAGGTGTTAAATCAATAAAATTTGGAAATAAACACAGAAAGTTATGCAGAACAAACTATTAATTTCTCATACTTTTCCTGAAGTTTTTCACAAATAATAAATCAAATTTGATGTATACATATGATAGTTGTTTTAGCAGAGTGAAATAGTCATGTAGATTAGTTGAAAATTATATTAAGGTGTGAGAGAGAATGTTCAAAGTGATAGTGGCCAAGAGTTAAGTTGTGGTGGTGGAAGGAATAGGAAATTGTCTAGCCCTAATGCCATATTTTCTCCTGGGATCTTACTCTAAGTGTGTAGTCACAGCATAAGCTTTTCTTGGAAGCTTTATTACTGTGTTAACTTTTCATTGTTTCAAATACTCTGACCTCTGACCAACCTTTTGGGGCTGGACGGTAAAGCGACGGTCTCGCTTCATGCCGGTCGGCGTTCAATCCCCGACTATCCAGGTGTTCGGGCACAATTCCTTTCCCCCGTTCCATCCCAAATCCTTATCATGACCCCTTCCAAGTGCTATATCGCCAAAATGGCTTGGAACTCTTTATAGTTCCCTTTCCCCTCTTCCTCCTCCCACCCTTTCTTTCATATATTATCCCAGTCTTCATTTCCAAGATTCTGGTTGTCTGCCTCTACCATGTTATTCACATATGTTATCCTTGTACACATTTTGTTAAATAATTTTTCTGAGATGATTTGGACATGCTGAATGAAAGAATGATATTAAGACTGGTGATCAGAATATATTTGAGTGAATCCATATGTAGACAATGAGTCACAATAATGTGGCTGAAGTATGGACCAAAAAGTAACGTGGCAGGACGGACTGAAACGTCGTCGTCATCCCTTCACCTTCTAGTGAGTGGTCTGGTCAACATATTTGAGTGAATTTAAGGGTAAGGAGGAGGAGGAGCAGACGATGACCCAAAAGAATTAGGGTTGACATGGTTAGTGTGTGACAAAGCAGTGAGTGGAAAAACTTGTGGGATATGGTAAGAAGAAAAGCTTGGTGGAGGCTTTAAGGAAGAAGTGAATGACCTTTGTCTTGCACTAACCACAACTGCAAATCTATTCACAGCCAAATAGGTACTCTTGAGGTTATCTTGAGATGATTTCGAGGCTTTTTAGTGTCCCCGTGGCCCAGTCCGTGACCAGGCCTCCACCCCCCAGGAAGCAGCTCGTGACAGTTGACTAACACCCAGGTACCTATTTTACTGCTAGGTAACAGGGGCATAGGGTGAAAGAAACTCTGCCCATTGTTTCTCGCCGGCGCCCGGGGTCGAACCCGGGACCACAGGATCACAAGTCCAGCGTGCTGTCCGCTCGGCCGACCGGCTCCCTTACTGTGAAGATTCTATTCTATCTTGTTACAGTATTATCAAAGGACAGTATATATTTTGATAGGTTTGTTAGAAATGTGACACATTTCTTTATTATTGCAGACCTCGGTTGGGCATTGTTCTTCACCGTGTAGTTGGAGTAGGCCTCCTGTATTTTATTTTAGCAAGCATTGAGGGTTGTACCCGGGCTCTCCAATCCAGAATCGACCCTCATCGGCAGGTAAGTTAACAGTATTTCCGTTATACATTGCATAATTAAGTTTAATTATATAAAGGAGTTTGTTCAAAATGTTGTATTTTTGAAGTGTCTCTCATTTTTTTGGGTTTTGTTTTATCTAGCAGTGCAGGTATTTATAATGCGTATATTGCCTGCAGAGGCATTTACATGGCCAGATGCTAGTGATACAGGCAACCTTTTCCTAATAACATTTTTACCAACACAAGACATCCTCATACCTCTTCATAGTCCCTTTACTTACTTTGGCATGTTTTTGATCAATCACATTGTGTTTGCTCAGAGCTCCCATTAAGACAACAAAAAGCGCAAATTATCTTTGTCTCATAGTCCAACGGTGAGACATAAAGGAGATCATATCTTGGTCCATCACCATGGATATGACACCAAATCTTAAGAGAGCTAAGGTTTGCAGACGAGGAGTCTCAATAACGTGGTTGAAATATGTTGACCAAACCACACACTAGAAAGTGAAGGGACGACGACATTTTGGTCTGTCCTGGACCATTCTCAAGTCGAATGACTTCATTACAAGCCAAGGCTTGTAATGAAGATGCATAACTTGCCACAAGATGGCAATAGTCTGTCTAGCAAACTAGTTTATCTAGTCTGACTGCTCTCCAATGAATGCAGTACATCATGCCTTAGGAAGCAGTTGCATGATCCACTCAGAAAGGTTCGAACAACGCATAGTTTCGAACCCTCATCACAGCTCTTGTGGATTTGTTTACTGAGAAAGGTATTTTCCATATTGCTCAAATCGGGATTTTTTCAAAGGTATTTTGGTTGCAAAGTTTTGTATGTGCAAAGAGTGCAATCTGTCACTTGTACAAGCAAAATTTTAATAATTATGAACAAACTACAGTATAGATAAAATTGAGTAAAAAACAAAACAAAAGAGAGATCAGAAGTAATGGAACATCGGATGCAATAGATGGGCAAGGGCCCAAAATGAGCTGTTCTGTTCAAGCAGTTTTTCCACTATATTTTGAGCGCGCTGTGATGATTTTCTTTGAGGTTGTGCATTGTTGAGTGGATAATTTTGTCTTAGCAGTGACCTATTCTAAAAACAGGTATAGAGTACAGTACTTAAGAATTTAGTAATACAATACTGTAAAGGAAGGTATAATATTAATTTATATTTTGTGTAAATTATAAAATTGGAGGTACCTTATAGTGTGTCCTATTCAACTTTTCTAGGTTCTACTTGCATCCTTACCACTGTCCCTGCTAGAGTCTGCCATCTGTTTTTGGATCTTCACTGCCCTAGTCCAGACAACACGCACCCTCCGCCTCAGGCGTAACTTGGTGAAGCTCTCGCTTTATAGACATTTCACCAACACACTTGCGTTTGCTGTAGTGGCTTCTGTTATCTTCATGCTTTGGTCAATCAGGTAAATAACTAAAAATATGTACTACAGTAAAAGTTTTTATAGTATGAAACTGGAGAGGTTTATAAGAATTTATAAATTCTCAATTTACTTACCAGTTAGAAAAAAAGTTCAAAATCATGTAAAAAAAAGTCAATTCATAACGAAACAATCCTGGGTCAGTTTCCACACAAGACCAGATGTTTAGACATGACTTACACCTAATTCCTGTGTTAACCTGGTAGTAAATAGATGCATTCTGGGGAAGGTTACTCATTAGCCAAGCGGGTCTTAAAGACGCCTAACAGGCCTCCATTCCCTGATAATGGGGAACCGTAAAATAGTCAATTATGTTATTATTTGGCTAATTATGTCCCAGTTCATGCTTGTGTCTCAGACATACATCTGACCACAGTGCTGAGAATTTCAGAATACATGGGCTGGTCATACATGGACTGATGTACCTGGACTTGTAATACATGGACTGGTGTACTTGGACTTTAAATACATGGACTGGTAATATAGGTAATTACAAATAATGCTTCTATTTTAATCTTTTCTCATGGTAACTCAGGTATCATCAGTTTGAGGCATGCCTGACTGATTGGAAGGAGCTGTGGGTAGATGATGCATATTGGCACGTCCTCTTTGCCATTGTCCTGCTGGTGATCATGGTTCTCTGGCGACCCTCCAATAATAATCAGGTACGTTAAATTCTACTTTATGTTCACTCGGAAACATTCAATCTGCATTATTAGTGTAAAATATGTATTAAGAATGAGGTTTGTCAGAAAGACAATACCTGTTTAAATCTTGTCGTTTAATGTAGTGTTCTGTTATTCGTAAGTCTTATTTTCATATACAAATTATAAAGTCAAATGTTTATCTGTAGACCATTGTTTGAATAAATGCAGTTTCATGAATAATGAGAAATGTGTGTAATTAACCAGTTAGTGTATAAAACATTTCTGAAATGTAGCTTTAGCATGTCTTGTTTTGTCCGCACAGATTTATGAAATATTTGAATTTTAGCGCAATATTTATGTCTACTATTATATATTATACATATACACACAACATCCTTCTTTCCATACACCTCAGACCCAAACTCCAAACAAAGAAAATTCAGAACGCACACCAAAGAATATCCATAGTGTCCAACACACACACAAAAAAAAATCCAAAGTGCCTAACAAAAAAGTGCCAAACTGCCAACAAAAAAGTGGCCGGTTCTAAGAGTCCAGCTCAGAATGAGCATTTTGCTGCACTCAAAACCCAATTTATTTTTTTGGCTGCACCCAGTTACTCCAAACAGGTGAGAAACAGCATAATAAAAAAGGTGATATAATATCCCTCTGCATTGGCTTAACTGTTTTTTTTTTTTTTTTTCATTGCAGCGCTTCGCATTTACACCATTGTTAGATGATGGTTCTGATGCTGATGATGAGGAAGAGTCTGAGAAGCTGATGGCAGATGTTTCGGACACAATGAAGCTAAGGAACACGCGCACTTCTACTACGTCTTCTCCACGAGAATCCCGTTCTGTGGCAAGTTGTTTAGCTGTGATTGTTTATACTGTATCCGGGATTTGCTTCTTGAAAAGAGGAAGATTATGATAATCGTTCACGTCGACATCTATTTACGCTATTGTGAATGCATAACGGACAGGGATAATAAATTAAGGGATAATGGAACTCTAGAGGGAACTATTAGGGGGGGAAAGTGCCAAACCATTATGACTATATAGCACTTGGAAGGGGTCAGGACAAGGATTTAGGATGGGACAGAGGAAAGGAATGGTGCCCAACCATTTGGACAGTCGGGGATTGAACGCTGACCTGCATGAAGCGAGATCGTCGCTCTACTGCCTAGTCCAATAATGCTTGGGAAGTTTCAGCAAATTCTTTTCTCTATATAAACTTAATAATAGTATATGTAAGTTTTCATGCTTCTTACCATAATTGAATATCCATCTATTTCTTGGTGTCATTCCAGGAAGATGACTTGAAGTGGGTAGAGGAGAACATCCCATCATCCCTTGCAGACACGTAAGATGTTAACTATAGTTGTGTACAGTGCTTTTGTGTTAAATCTATTTAATCATTTTAATCATTCGTTTATCTTTGTGCAGTTTGTGATAGGATTTAATGCTAATCCTTTAAGATTGCTGTATGAATCTAGTTAATTGGCAAAATGAGATGTACATCTACTCAGAAAATATACTGTATGAATACAGTACTTGTAATTTGTTGTATGATGTGTAGCTTATGTTAGACGGAACGGATCAGTCACAACATGACTGATCACTGCACAAGTGTGTATCATTAATTTAAGCCTTGGTAAAGTGAGTAGATTCTCCTAGACTTATCAGATATTTCATATTTGTTCATTGGAAGATGCTGATTAATCAGAAGCCTGTGGCTCTTTCCACTGTCAATGCTCATAACCTATAATCATTCTGCTAGCAACATGCACTATCAATATGTATCATGTCTTGTTACCAAGCGCTCATTGTTGATACTTAAAGTCTGCCTGTCACTTTAATTGTTTGCCTCTTCACCTTGCACTCGGCAGCATTCTTACACATGTTCACGCTTTTTTCACAGGCATGTATTGTTACACGTACTGTATATGATGGCTTTTTTCCACCCGCATGCATTCTTACACGCGTTCACGCTTGTTTCCACCGGCATGCATTCTTACACGTGTTCACGCTTTTTTCCACTGGCACGCATGCTTACATGTGTTCACGCTTCTTTCCACCGGCATGCATTCTACATGCTATGCTGCCCTGACAGTCACTCTTCTCTTCACCTCCCTAAACTTCTCACATTATCTATACAGTACTACACAAATTATTAATCTCTGCTGTTTTAATTTTAATTGTTTCTAAATAATAGTTGATTTTTATAGGAACCAAACATGATTGTATTTTTTATATATTTTATGTTCTTTCTTTTTCAGTGCACTTCCCATCCTTGACTCAGATGAGGTAAGATGTTGATAAACATTGATTCAGTTATTTGAAAGATTAGTCAGCATATTGCTAGTAACCTATAACACACATATAGGGTCTCATAGTACAGTTGGCTTCATTCTCAACTCACAGTTGGGGGGATCCCGGGATTGATTCCCAGGTGCGACAGGAATGGTTGGGTACATTTTCTCTTACCTAATGCCTCTGTTTACCCAGCAGTAAGTAGGTACCTGGGAGTTAGGCAACTGTTGTGGGGTTTCATCCTGGGGAGGGACAGTAGAGGCAGGCTTATGCTTCCTACCATAGACAAACCAAATTAAATTGTTAAGTTATATGACTTAAGAGTCGTAAATAAGTAGAGGATGGGAAGGAATTTTCAAGGGACAGCACCAAGCCATTATGACTATATAGCACTTGGAAGGGGTCAGGATAAGGATTGGGGGGGGGGGGGAAGGAATAGTGCACAACCACTTGGACGGTCGGGGATTGAACGGCGACCTGCATGAAGAGAGACCATTGCTCTACTGTCCAGTCTAAGTGGTTAGGTTATATGACTAAGAAAGATATAGAATATACTTTTCTATTTAAGCTGTTTAGGATATTGTTAGTATTGTATTTTGTCATATCAATGTGACCGTGTATGTTATTGAAGCGAGCTGCTAGAGTACAGTAATAGTAGTTATCCTGCAGTCTCGGGAGACTGTGGTGTTGCGCTCCGGTTGTTGAGACTTGTCGGTATTAGGGTAATAATGAAGTAAATTATTACTTTTTAATAATAATATCAAGCAACCTGTATTCTTCAATACAGGTTGCTTGAAGAATGTAAAACCAAGAAATATAACATTTGTATTTAAAAAGATTACGCAGTGTATAAAAATGAAGATATAAAAGATAATGATAGTTCAGTAATAAGTGTGGGTGTAGTTCGGGGTTATTACAAGGTACTGTTATTAATGATAAAGCTGCCACATTATTAGATCACATTAATGCCCTCACATGCAAACTACAGTTCAGAGAGCAGATGATGAGTCACAATAACGTGGCTGAAGATGTGATGACCGAACCACGCATCAGAAGATGAGGAGATGACAATGTTTCGGTCTGTTCTGGACCATTATCAGGTCCAAGAAGATTAATCGACGTTCAGGACGGACTGAAAGTCATCATCTCATCTTCTGGTGTGGTTTGGTTATCATACATTTCAGAGCAATGCATATAATCACACATTTTTATTTAGCTGCTTTATTATGGAAATTGAAGACTAATATCCTAATATTAGTCAGGCACTATATCAGGCTTAAATACTTTGTAATATAAAGGAAGTTTTACTTAATGAAAGTTGCTTTAGTTGAGTGGTTTTATGTACAGGGTATTTAAAATGCTGTTAGATAAAGCTCAGTTATATAATTTTTTCCTTACCTCTTTCTAGAGAGTTTTAAGTTATATAAGAAATTTCAAAATGCCAGTCAATTCTATAGTATACACACTTATTTTGTTTAAATATGGTAAACTCCCCCGCTTGATACCTACTTGGTGGGGGTTCTAGGAGTTCTTTTACTTCCCAAGCCCAGCCCGAGGCCAGGCTTTACTTAGAGTTTAGTCCACCAGGCTGTTGCTTGGAGCGGCCCGAGGCCAGGCTTGACTTGTGAGAGTTTGGTCCACCAGGCTGTTGCTTGGCCCGCAGGCCCACATACCCACCACAGCTCAGTTGGTCCGGAACTTCTTTTAGAAAACAGTCTAGTTTTCTCTTGAAGATGTCCACGGTTGTTCCGGCAATATTTCTTATAGTCTCTGGTAGGACATTGAACAACCGCGGACCTCTGATGTTTATACTGTACAGTGTTCTCTGATTGTGCCTATGGCACCTCTACTCTTCACTGGTTCTATTCTGCATATCCTGAACACACAAGGAAGAGGTTAATTTGGACATGCAAGTACAGTACTGTACATTCAGCATTCTAGAGAAGTCTGCGTTTAATAGTCGTTGTAACCTTTTCTGAAGTTGGGTTACCTTATTCTGTTACCTGTTAATATGATAATTGCATACAGTATTAATGGACTGGAAATTTGTGGTTCTACAGACAGAATTTAGTTAGGCATTATGTGGAGGGTGAATAGCTGTATACGTATACTGTAGTGTAATGCAGCTTTTGTGTATCATGTGACTTGTATATCACGTAACTTTGCTGGTAGAGTACAGTGCTCTACGACACCACATGTTCTCATTTAGAGTACAGTAATCAATTACAATTTGTAGGGTTTCCATAAATTTGTTCTATACAGTGCTGTATGTAATTACCTTACATTTCATATTCATTAGTTACAGTGAAGAATTAGAAACCTTATTGTTCCAAGGTTTAAACCTGTTTGAACCTGCTTAAGAAGTTCTGAACCTGTTTAAGAGGTTCTGAACCTGCTTAAGAAATTCTGAATCTGTTTAAGAAGTTTATGAAATATTGGGAAATCCTGATACATAAAAACTGCATATACATTGGAGTTTATTGTATGCTGCAGGAGGGAGGGTTTGAGGTACTGAGAAGGGGGGAGGGGGGTAAGAAGATTGAAAATGTACTTTGCTTTTTAAGATTATTTAAGGAAATTATTTGTCTTCAGATACATTGGGAAAGTGATACTTGGAGTACCTCCCATGGTCTCGGTAATCTGATTAGACATAAACAAATTATGTCTGATTTTATTTCAATTGATAATATTGTGTTTGCTCTATGGTGGGGAAATGTTATCAAAATAATTAATAATTTTTTGTTTTTTCCAGGAAATTGTTACTTCAAAGTTTGAGGTCTCCAAAATGCAGTGATGACAACAAATATCAGTGATTCAAGTCCATTCCAATAAGTCCTTTTCCTTATTTGTGAGTGTGTGTATGTGTATGTGATTGTTTATACTGTGGAATACCCACATTTTCTTAATAACAAGATCTGTGCTTTTGAATAGATTGATTGTGTGCATGACTGAAATATATTTATTTTGTGTTCTGGTAGTGTTCATGGGCATAAGATTCCTTCCTTACATAATTGTCTACTGAGTTAGAGTAGTAAGTTTTTTGTATATAGTCCATACTATTTTTATACTAAAAGAACATGCTTGCTTGGAGGTATAAGGGTTTATGAGGCTTTAATGTGCTGTGCACTTTCCCTAGCCCAACCACTTGGGCTGGACGGTCGAGCGACGGTCTCTCTTCATGCAGGTCAGCATTCAATTCCCAACCGTCGAAGTGGTTCCTGACCCCGTCCCATCACTAATCCTTATCCTGACCCCTTCCAAGTGCTATATAGTCATAATGGCTTGGTGCTTTCCCCCTGATAGTGTGTCTCTCTCTCTAGCTATATGTCCTAGTGTAATGTTAGCATTCTTGACGTATTAGAGGAATGTGTATACAGATAACTAGCACTGTCTGCGTCATTCGTGAGCTGTCAAGATTAGCAAATAGGTGACAGCTCATGAACTATGCTGACTAATTATTATGAGTTACATTTTCTATTACTTACAAGTTGTATGGAATGGTCTTTATATGGTGAAAATAAAACTATATCCTGTAATTGGAATAACATTGATTTTTTGTTTATTGAATTTTATTTATTTAGAATTTAGGTTAGTTTATTCAGAGAATAATAATTAGTGGTTAGTATTGTAGCTAAAAAAAAAAAAAACTGTAGGTAAATTTTTTTACCTGGTTCAGTACTTGTACTTAATGATATGTTGGTAAAATGAAATGTATATCACTTGGTAAAATTGTCAGTTTTAAAGAGCATAACCCTGCTGATAATTCTTGTTGTTCATTGTGCGAACATGCTGCCAGTGAGTAGATGTACGCAGTGAATATATGTCACTAAGATTTTGGCCATCAGTTGTTGCTTTTAATTTGTTTATATATCCTTATTAGTGGAAGACAGGCGGTTCCAAATACCGTATCAATTTCTTATTCCTTTTGTCATCAAGGGGATCTGACAGCTGAATGGACAGCACTCGGGATTCGTAGTCCTTAGGTTCCGGGTTCGATCCCCATTGGAGGAGGAAACCAATGGATATTTCTTTCACCCCTGATGCACCTGTTTACCTTGCAGTAAATAGGTATCTGGGAGTTTGACAGCTGCCACGGGCTGCTTCCTGGAGGTGTGTATAACGAAAAGGAGGCCTGCTTGAGGACCGGGCCGCGGGAATGCTAAGCCCCGAAATCATCTCGAGATAACCTCAAGATACTGTATCTCTACATTGAACGCGAGACTTTCGTGCAGTAGCATTCAACATTAGTATGGAAATCAAAGCAGTGTAAGGGATGTCTGAAAGTATTTTAAATAGTAGTGGATTATATATTGGGTTAGGATGTCTGAAAACATTTGTTTTATATTGTTTAAATAGACTTCATTTTATGATGTTGCATTAATATATGCCTTGAACAAGTGGTTACATTTAATTGTTATCAGTGTGTATAGGCTGTGTGACAAGGAAGGCATGAAGGAGAGGCGCCTCATCTGAAGGTTTTCTCGCTCTCTTGGAAATCTTTTGTGATTACAGTATCAGAACATTTTTTTTTAAATAGTATTTCCTGTCTGTTGAAATATACAAACACATGAGATATGCAGTACTGTGTGTGTGTGTGTGTGTGTAATTACCTAAGTAATTACCTAAGTGTAGTTACAGGATGAGAGCTACGCTCGTGGTGTCCCGTCTTCCCAGCACTCTTTGTCATATAACGCTTTGAAACTACTGACGGTCTTGGCCTCCACCACCTTCTCACTTAACTTGTTCCAACCGTCTACCACTCTATTTGCGAAGGTGAATTTTCTTATATTTCTTCGGCATCTGTGTTTAGCTAGTTTAAATCTATGACCTCTTGTTCTTGAAATTCCAGGTCTCAGGAAGTCTTCCCTGTCGATTTTATCAATTCCTGTAACTATTTTGTATGTAGTGATCATATCACCTCTTTTTCTTCTGTCTTCTAGTTTTGGCATATTTAATGCTTCTAACCTCTCCTCGTAGCTCTTGCCCTTCAGTTCTGGGAGCCACTTAGTAGCATGTCTTTGCACCTTTTCCAGTTTGTTGATGTGCTTCTTAAGATATGGGCACCACACAACAGCTGCATATTCTAGCTTTGGCCTAACAAAAGTCATGAACAATTTCTTTAGTATATCGCCATCCATGTATTTAAATGCAATTCTGAAGTTAGAAAGCATAGCATAGGCTCCTTGCACAATATTCTTTATGTGGTCCTCAGGTGATAGTTTTCTATCTAGAACCACTCCTAGATCTCTTTCTTTATCAGAATTCTTTAAAGATTTCTCACATAAATATAGGTTGTGTGGGGTCTATGTTCTCCTATTCCACATTCCATAACATGACATTTATTAACATTAAATTCCATTTGCCAAGTGGTGCTCCATATACTTATTTTGTCCAGGTCTTCTTGAAGGGCATGACAGTCATCTAAATTTCTTATCCTTCCTATTATCTTAGCATCATCAGCAAACATGTTCATATAATTCTGTATACCAACTGGTAGATCATTTATGTACACAATAAACATCACTGGTGCAAGAACTGAACCCTGTGGTACTCCACTTGTGACATTTCTCCATTCTGATACATTGCCTCTGATTACTGCCCTCATTTTTCTATCAGTCAGAAAATTTTTCATCCATGATAGAAGCTTACCTGTCACCCCTCCAATATTTTCCAGTTTCCAGAACAACCTCTTATGTGGAACTCTGTCGAAAGCCTTTTTTAGGTCCAGATAGATGCAGTCAACCCAACCATCTCTTTCCTGTAATATCTCTGTGGCTCGATCATAGAAACTGAGTAAATTCGATACACAGGATCTTCCAGATCGAAAACCATACTGTCTGTCTGATATTATATCATTTCTCTCTAGGTGTTCTACCCATTTAGTTTTGATTAGTTTTTCCAATACTTTCACTATTACACTTGTCAATGATACAGGTCTATAATTGAGGGGGTCTTCCCTGCTGCCACTTTTGTAGATTGGAACTATGTTAGCCTGTTTCCACCCGTCTGCTACGATTCCTGTACACAGGGATGCCTGAAAGATCAGGTGAAGTGGAATGCTGAGCTCAGATGCACATTCTCTCAGAACCCATGGTGAAACGCCATCTGGGCCAGCTGCTTTGTTCTTACCGAGCTCCTTGAGCATTTTTTCCACTTCGTCTCTAGACACCTCTATGTGTTCTATGTTGTTCTCTGGAATTCTTATTGTATCTGGTTCCCTAAAGATTTCATTTTGTACAAACACACTTTGGAACTTTTCGTTTAGTGTTTCACACATTTCCTTTTCATCTTCCGTGAATCTATTTCCCATTTTCAACCTCTGAATATTATCCTTTACCTGCAATTTGTTGTTTATGAATTTATAGAATAGACCTGGTTCTGTTTTACATTTGTCCGCAATCCCTTTTTCAAAATTTCTTTCTGCCTCTCTCCTCACTGCCGTGTAGTTGTTTCTCGCATCTTTGTATCGCTGGTATGTTTGGGGGTTCGGCCTCTTCCTGTATTGATTCCATTTTTGTGTCTTTCGGTCTCTAGCCCTCTCGCAATTTCTATTGAACCAATCCTGTTTCCTAGTTCTGCATCTCTGTTTGGTATAAATTTTTTTGTACCTTTATCATATATTTCACAAAACTTGCCATACATCTCATTCACTTCCTTGCCTAGCATCAAGTCTGTCCAATTATACTCACTAAAAAAATTTCTAAGGCCACCATAATGTCCTCTCCTGAAGTCTGGTTTTTCAACTGCTTCAACCTCCTTATTTTCTTCCAGCTTATAACGCATTGCATACTTTATTCCCAAAAAGACATGGTCACTTTTACCCAAGGGAGGAAGGTACTGAATGTCAAATATCTCTTCCTCCTTCCTGGTAAATATCAAATCTAGCATGGAGGGAACGTCCCCTTCCCTCATCCTCGTAGCTTGTTTAACATGTTGATACAAGAATGTTTCCAGGATGAGGTCTACAAATTTACAGGTCCAAAAATCTTCTGTTTTAGCTTCATATGCTTCCCAGTCTATAGATTTCAAGTTGAAGTCACCGACTATCAACAGTCGTGATCTATCGTTATCCGCTCTCGCTATAATCTCTCTCATTATTGTTATAAGACCTTCACGTTTACTATCTAGCTCCTCCTTTGACCATGTGCTGCTTGGCGGTGGACTATATGCATTTATCATCATTAGTTTATCATCCTCATAGCAGATCTCTAGTGCTATTATGTCAACTTCTTGTGGATTGGCAGTCATTATTTCCTTCACCTTTAGGTGTTCTTTTACCAGCACAGCAACGCCACCGCCTTTCCTAATTTTTCTGTCCCGTCTCCAAATTGAGTAGCCCCTTGGGAATATGACCTCATTTAAAATTACATCTTCAAGTTTTGTCTCCGTGAGTGCAACAATGTCTGGTGTCTGCAGCTGTATTACATCACTTAACTCCAGTATCTTCGATCTCACTCCATCTATGTTGGTGTATGCAATCTTCAGGAACTTGTTCCCCCTCTCCTTATTCTTCACTCCCCCTCTCTCTATTGATTTTGTTGGTTTGCCTTTATGTACCACTTTACTGGTTTGCCTACCCCTATCACTTTGTAGAAAAAAGAATTTATTTCTTCTTCATTCCTGCTCTCATTTAAATGTTTTGCCTCGGCGAGGTTCAGTTTCAGCTTCTCTCTATCTTCTTTGAAAGATCTCGTCTTAACGACCACCCTTTCCCATCCTCATCCCTTTGCAATTTTCTAGCATTCCTTAGTACTTCTTCCATCTGTTTGGCACCGTTTAGGGTGATCCTCAAAGGTCGATCTTTCCCTTTTACGTACCTGCCTATTCTCCTGTAGTCGCACACATTCTCTCTGTTTGTAAGACCTTCCCCGAGGCCAACAATTTTATCTACTACTTTAGCTTCTTCTACAGCTCTTTCTGACCTAGATGTTATCGCCTTTTCTTTGCACCCAAAAATGATCAGGGACTTACTCCGATCAACTGTGTTTTGCACCAACTTCGGGTTAGATGCCAATTCTTTCCTCACTTCTAGCCTAATGTTCGTTTTATCTTGGTTGCTGCAGTGTTTGACTTCCTTTACTGCTTCTTCTATTTTTTCCTTCTCCTTGGCCACTTGTGCATAAGTGAGTTGCATATCTTTCTTGCACTGTTCTATTCCCTGTGTACTTCCTCCATTGTGCTGACAAAAGCTGTTTCTCCTGTTGAATTTCCTTGCCTAACCTATTGTAGTCATTTATGTTTAAATTTACTTTAACTTCTTCCAAAGCTTTTTTAAGAGTTTATTTTCTTCTTCCATGGCTTTGCAATTTGTTTCCAATTGATTCTTATCCTTGCGCAAGTCTTTCACTAAACCCTCAAGACATAAAACTTTGCTATTCAAATGTCATTACTTTCTTTCAATTTACTAATTATTTCTACATGAAGTTCACTATAGTATCTAAATTTACCAACTTGTTATGTAGACTACTAATATCAATGCTTTCTTCATTGAATCCCTCAAAATCAAGCTCTGTGGTGTTTTTTATGCCCTTGTGTGTGTGTGTGTGTGTGTGTGTGTGTGTGTGTGTGTGTGTGTGTGTGTGTGTGTGTGTGTGTGTGTGTGTGTGTGTGTGTGTGTGTGTGTAATGTATGTATTGTAATGGTAATTTGACAAATTATATAACATAGGCTGTGGAGGTAAATGGGTTATAAAAGTAAATGACAAGTTTTGGACCTGTTAGGATTTCTGTTATCACCAATACAGTACATGAAATTGTGGTTGAGCTATGCTTATTTTCAGACTGCTGTATGTTAAGAATTCTTTTAGTTTGGGGGGCATAACATTGTTTTAGTTTGTATTTTGATTTAATATATTAAGAACTAATTTGTTCAGTAATGTCAAACTGTATAAAATAGCTGTTCTAAAGCTGTTGATTGCTAGTCAGAAATAAGAGATGTACGCTATTTTGCATGTTAATTGCAAGATTCGGCAGATGATAGTGCTAAGTTGTCCGCAGATGTTGCTAATGGCACAGCTTGCAACCTAAGATGCAATTTTTCAGTTAGTCTCATATTTTCTAGTTTGTCTTTCACAATCTGGTGTTTCATTATCTTTGTAATTGGGTTTTAGTATATTCAGATATTAATATATATATACTTAGTGGTGATTATTGCAAAGTGCACAAATGTGTTGTTAATATTGATATCACTCAATTGATGCTTTGATTTGCTATGGATTTAGAAGGTTCTTTAGTTTGTGCTTCAAGGGGTAAAGAGTACTCGGT